ATTAAGATAAAACTATATATGAATGTGATAAAATATTTATACTTATAACATAATGAAGTTAAGTGAGTAGCTATCATATACGGAGTACTACGTATGATTAAATGGGATAGTTCTATCATTCATGTTTGTTAATGTATATGTATATATGTATTTTATACACACAAAATACAATATTACTTATCATATTTATGCAAAAATATAAATAAAATGCAATTTCTATGTTTCCGACTAGTCCCCGACTAGGCGCTGGGCTGGCGCCCGACTAGCGCCTAGCGCCTTTTAGAACATTGATTAGTATATACACACACACACTAGTACATAAAGTGATTAGTTATAATACTTCCAATGAAAAAAAATACAAACTAACACACACATACATACTAATGCATAAAATTATTTGTTATAATTTTATAATTATGTAGATACACTCTAGTACATGCCTACTCTATAAGTGATACTGATTGAGATACCCTAAAACTAATACTCATTTTGGCCGTTTATTGATACTGATAAAGTGTGTATTGGGCTTGGTATGCATGTCCCAATATTTATTATTATTAATATTAGTATATCTATATCATATATAATATGCTTTTATATTCTCAGTAGTCCAAGAGCCCTTTATGTTACCTAGTTTCTAGTCTAATCCGTACCTTTGTGTGCAAGAGAAAGAGACGTAGAATATGGAGTTAAATGCCTCTACAAGAATCAGTATTTTATTGGATCAAAGTACTACTTTTCTATGAGAAACCTTGTTTTTTTAGTGAAAATATATTTTGCTTTAAGTTCGCCCATTTTGCATTACATTTCATATACATGTATTGTTATTTTCAAAAAATTATATTATAATGTTGTGCATATAATATAATCATATTTGGCGGGTCTACCCGACCCGGTTTTGAGGCCTGTTGGGTTTGGTCCGGGTGCAAACTTTCAGACCCGCCGGGTATACGGGTCGAGTCTAGGTCCTTTATTAACTTAGCGGGTACAGGTCAGAACGCAGTGTTCTAGACCTGGACCTGTCCCATTGACAGACCTACCGCCCCGGGTCAAAACTGGCTAGCGGGTTTTTCCGGGTTTACACACATTTACAAGTTTGTGTGTAACTGGATTGGTTCGACCCGCCCGGTCCGGTCAATTTAACACAAAAGCAGTCATGTGGTCATCCCCCTTTTTTTTTTCATCTTCTCTCCATTTCCTACTCCTCTCAACTCACCTTCTATATTTAACCCTCTCCATTCCCTTTCCCACTTTTAATACTTATTTTAAACTATCACTACACAGAATTAATTAGGAGTAGGCATGGACTGGACCGGGCTCCAGGCCGATCATAGGCGAGACAGAAATTTTGGAGGTAAGGCCTGGTACCGGCCCGAGATCAGACCGGGTCCAGTCTGGGACGGTCTACCCGCCCGGGTCTCGGGCCGGGTCGGTCACTTATTAATTTTTTTTTTGAAAATCTTGTTTAAAAATTAATTCAAGAGGTGCTAGACAATAAATGATTAATTGTATTGTTAATTTCTGATCTATGAAGATGCAGAAGAAGATGTTTTCTATGAAGCAAATAGCGATTCTAATAATGATTAATTGTATTGTTAATTTTTGCAACCAATGTCATAAACTGCTAATTAAATTGTTTTAATTTGAATTTTTTTATTTGGAATATTTGATTTCTTTTATTTATCATTGTACTGCTCCAAGAAAATTCGATTTCTTTTTTTCATCATTATAATTTGCCAAAAAAATTATTACCTCATGTTATATTCTACTTAAGATAATTCGAATTTTATTACAAATTCCATATTTAATATACAATTATTATAATTGTATATTAAATAATATAAATTATTTAATTATAAAAAATGTTGACTAAATTATGTAAAAATAATTACAACAATGAATTTTTTTATTCTATATTATAAATTCGCAAATTGAAAATTAATTGTAATAATTCGAACATCAAAAATTAAATAATTTGAAAATCGAAAATTAAAATTAATTTAATTTTAATAATTCGAGTTTTTAACATAATTTAGTCAAATATTATAATAATTTCGAATTTTAATAAATAGAAAACACGATTTTATTTATTAAATTTAAAAGATAAATAGAAAACAAACAATTTTTTTTATCACATTTAACTAATTAACATAATTGATAAATAGACAATCACAGATTTATTCATTATCGTCAAAGCTTTTATCAAGAGGCCTAGCCAACAGTTCGTTAATTTATTTTTCAGCTTCTGCGCTTATTGGTTCCAAATACTCTGAACATTCTTGCACACGAAAAAGTCTCCTACACAAATCTTTTCCGTTTTTGACGTTGTTTGAGTCTGATTCATCATCTTTAATGTTGCCAAAGCTTTCAAGGGGTCTAGCCATCAGCTCACGGATTTTATGCACTGCTTCCGCATTTATCGGTCCCATTAACTGTGTAACTTGTGTAACTCGTTCCATACTTCTATACATCATCTTCTAGTCAATTGGTTCTGGACTAGTCATATTTCGTCTACTTTGGTCTTCATCTTTTTTATACGGAGTATTTCCTAAATTAGTATAAGAGCCTGTTTGGTAACACTCAAATCAGCAGAATCGGTTGTTTGTGCTGATATTTATGAGTTCTGGCTAAAATTGTTGTATTGGGTGATTCTGTTGATTTATGAAAAATTTATATACTACGTATAAAATATATTTTATTCGTAAAATAAAGAAAACAATAATATTAAAAAAATACTTTGTAGTTAAAATGATTCTCTACAGTAACTTCAGCCAATACAGCCAGAAAAGTAACTATATCAAACATTACGTGTTTGATGAAAAAGTTAGTTGATACGCCTGATAAACCGGAAAATAGGGTCACCAATGTGGCTCTAAATGATTTAATCCTCATCACCTCATATGATTTAATCTTAATTTTTTGCTATCATGCTTTGTTAGTATTATACGGTTCGTGAATAATACAATAATACGAACGTGTTTTAAACGTTTCACAATTTAAAAATACGGCATATAATACATGTCATGTATACTAATTTAATGATGAGAATAAAGAGTAATTTTGCATATGCATCACATTCTTCAATAGTTTAAAATGTACAGAATAGTTTTTTCAAATACACGAATTTGAATTCATATGTACAATAAGTAATAAAAATGATATTGCCGATTTGTGTAAAGGTAGAGAGATATTTCTAGAGAATAGTTTATGTTACATACTGTGGTCGTAAATTTGGTAAGCCTCTGTAATATTCTTTTCTGTTTGGAATCTTGATATGAGTGGAGAATAAGAGTATCACAATAGTAATCCAATAGTAATATCGAAACGAATTATGACTTTAAGAAGCTAATTTATTAAATCTGATGACTATTAAACAATTAACGAACGTATAAGACACAATAACTTCTTAAGCAATATAAATTGTATTGAGCAACTAGACATTTCGCTTCAGTTGTATCACTCCATTAGGCTTCATTTTAATGGTGTTTTTTAATAAAATACGTAACAATACGTACGGTACGTGTATTATACATTTTATCCTTAAAGTACATGAATTTTTCAGTATTTTCTGAAAAATTCATAAATGGGAGTATTATACGTTTGAGTGTATTATACGTGAATTATACGCGAATAAACTAACACAGCTATCATGTGCTCGATAACATTAAAATACTACGTATAAGAATAAGCTGTTGAGATACGGGCATAAGGCCATAAATGTCTAGTTTCTATAAACTTTGAAACTATTTGAAATGGAAAAAAATCTCTCATTTACTAAACCCCTTCTTTTTTGGATGAAATGCCACTGTAAATGATTAAACCCTTATTACTCCATACGAGGTACTATGAGGTACTGTTAGAGATGGCAATTTCGGCCTACCCACTGGATACCCGCACCGAACCGATTTGGTCAAACTGGGAAAAACCGGTTTGACTGGGGAATGGGTACGGGGCAGGGAATACCCGAATTTTTTAAATGGTTAATGATGCGGTTATGGTTCTATACTACTCTGCCCCGTCATCCGCCCCGAAACCGCCCCGTTAACAAATGGTGCGGGTACCCGCATCGCTACCAGATCTGTAACATTATTAATAAATTATAACTTTATATATATAAGAATAATAAATATATATGCTAAATTGTGTATACTAAATAGTACTACGTATATATCATATAAATAATGCTAAAAAGTATACTATTTTTTTCTACCTAAGCCCAATTTGGAATTTGGATTATGGGATGATTACTACTTTTTTGTTATGTTATAAGAGATATCAGGTGCATGTCATACTAATGAATTTAGGCCAGGCTATTTGATTGCTTAAATATCTACTTTTGTATGTTTTAGGGTGCTTTGAATATACACTACAAAAAAATTCGGTTGTAGTCACGGATTTAGTCACGGACAACAGTGTAAAAATCCGTGACTAACTCATTTAGTCACGGATCCGGTCCGTGACTAAATCCGTGACTGTTTGGGCGTGACTAAATTTAGTCACGCCAAATTGACCGTGACTAACTGTTGTCACGGATTAGTCACGGACCAGATCCGTGTCTACAATGTCACCGGAATAACTCCTCCGGCACTTTAGTCACGGCTGAGATCCGTGATTACTTTTTTTTTTAATTTTTTTTTGTTAGTCACGGACGTGTCCGTGACTAAGTTTTTTTTATACAAAATTCGGCCATTTTAGTCACGGGAAGTTCCGTGACTACGTTTTTAAATTTTGAAATTTCAAAAACCCACGGTTCGAATTTTCAAAATTTTCAAATTTCATATTAGTCACGGTCATGAATCCGTGACTAACTTTTTTTAAAAAAATAAATAAATTTTAAATTAATAAAAAGAAATCCGGACTAAAAATTTAGTCACGGCTCAGATCCGTGACTAACTTTTTTGTTTTTTTTTTAAAAAAATCCATTTAAAAAAAAATTAAAACTTGTTTTACTTTTTCTTAAAATTAAAATTAAAATAAAAAAATTATCAGGAAAAATATTATATTTTAAAAAGTATAGCAATTATACCATTAAATAAGAAAAACAAAAATCATACACTCATACACAATAAAAATGCATTGCAAACTGAAATTATAAAAATAATGTTCAATATTAATGATAAAACTGTACTATTACATGCCCGGCCTTCGGACTCCATTATGAAAAAAATTAGGATTTTCATTATCAAATTCATCATCAGCTTCGGGCTCCACGGTGTCTTCGGGTCGGGTTCCTCCTCGGCTGCCTCCTCGGTTGCCTCCTCGGCTACCTCCTCGGTTCGCTCCACGGCTGGATCCTCTGGATGATTGAAATTGATTCAAGAAACCATGCGACAAAGATCCGAATGTCGGATCCATCATAGGCATGCTACTATATCCGGAGTTAGAATAATAACCCATGTTGCCCATGTGCGGAACCTGAGGAGTCTGCTCGGGGTGCAATATGTACGGCCGAGGCTGAGGCTGACATCCGGCGTTTAAGATCCGCTCCATCGCTTCGAGCCGGGCTCTTGTTTCTTCATCCTTCTTCCGTTGCTCCTCCTCCTCCAATTCTCACTGCATTTGGGCGATGCGTGGATCCTCTCCCCGCCCTGATCGAGAAGTGTTGGTCCCAGATTTCTGTAGACTAACACACAGCTAGATGGATATCATCATATGATTTCTTAAAAATCATACAACAAAATACTAGTTAAAAGGTGTTTGTTGAGTCCTTACCTCCAACACAACTCCTTTCCTCTTGGGTTTTCTTCTGTTGATGCTTCCTTCAAGCTTGGAGCTCTTGTGAGAGTTTTTCCCTGAGCTCTCCTCTCCCTTTTGCTGGTCGAATGATTGCAAGAGAATGGGGGATGTTTCCTCTTCAATCACTTACTTAATAAGTGAGTAAATGGGGACATAGGAGTGTGGGTGTTTGTCTGGCACATCACCTCCCACATAAGTCAGACCCTATACCATTTTGTGTCTCCATCTCATTATTTAGAGTGTACAATACATGTAGGGAAAGTCTCAAATGGGTGTAGGAAGTTCCTCCCAATTATCCCTGCTATTTTTGGCAGGTTGGGTCAAAATAGCACTTGGGTTGTCCAAATATTTTTTATCAACTTTTGTTGTCATTTTATTGGGCGACTATAATTATCAAGATGACCCAACTAGATATTTGGTAGTCCATTCTCGTTATTATGGGCCCAATAATTAATTTAATTTATCTCTCATTAATTAAATATACCAATCTGTTACACGATTTTATTTGCCAGAAATTTCAAATACATGTCAAATTTCAAATTCAAGTACATCCGGGTGCGGTGTCACAGAGAGAGTCTCTCGCTGCAACTTGAAACCTAGTTTCCATTAATTCATGATGCTAATTGACAATTTTAAAATAGAAAATAAAAATGCTGCAATTATATAGAGTGGAGGTAATATTATTTATTTTACGGTGGAAGTTTAGAATGTTAATTATATTTTTTTGAATGCTAAAATATCTGTGTTGGCTGGCTAGCCTTGGACTCACCCGTATTCTCGCCCCCTAGTTCAGACTTTCGCTGCCCTCCATAATTATCCGTGCTAGAAACTCCATCAGATAACCATTTGTTGGTTCCTGTAGGGCTGGTCTTCACCCTTCCTCCTGTTCTAAGTCCCACCCCATAGATTTTTCAGCTACTAAGCCCTCTTCATACTTCAATGAACAGAATTTATCAGAATGTCCAATTATACCACATATAAAGCAAAAACTAGGTAATTTTTCGTACTTAAAATCCACGCAGTGCTTCACCCCATCTTGTGTCAAATTGGTATCTTTTTTCAAAGGCTTACAAAGATCCAGACACACCCTTATACGCAAATAAGAACTCTGCCTTCCATCAAACTGGCTCATCTCAAATTTAATAAAAGAGCCTAAGAAATTACCAATTTTTCTGGCAGATCTCCAATTTCTATACTTTATAGTAGGGCTGCACATCGTGCGGGTTGGGTCGGGTTTGCTATATTTTTTGGGCCTACCCGATTTGTTCGGGTTGGCTATTAACCAACCCGCGGTAAGCAAAATATGTTGGTAAACCATGCATGAACGGGTAGGGTAGGGTCGGGTATTGGAAAAAAATCACTTCGGGTTGCATCTTTCATGTGGGAAATTAATGTAATCAATTTAAAACTCGATTAACTTGTTTACAAAAATACAAACATATACAAGTACTCATATCTTTTATAAGAAAAAACATTTTTTTGGAAGAATTATAAGCAAAAACATTAGGTAATAGTATTAAAACATCCTTTCGTAAAGGAAGTTCATTTAGAAGGAAACGTAAATATATAAGAATCACCTAGTCAAAATGGTAAATGTTTAATTATAATTCTAATATCATAAAGTCCAAGATAGAGCACATTGGTCTTAAATTGAAATTATCCAAGAAAACATTGTAGCATAATAATAGTAAAATGAACTTCGGTCGGGTCGGGTACTATCGGGTTTGAGATTTTAATTCCGCAACCCTAGCCATTAGGTGCGGGTTCAAACATATTTAACCCATGAATATTTTTTAAAATCAAATACCTGATCAAATAGGGTCGGGTATGGTTGGGTCGAACGGGTTATGCGGGTTTGGGTTATTCTTGTGCAGCCCTACTTTATAGAGGCATTATGAACTTGTACCCAAAAACTAGCCTCAAATAAATTCATCGATTCAGGTATATCATCTGACTGAACAGCTTTCAACAGTATTAAATCACGCTCAAAAAGCCAAGGACCATCCTCAATCACACGGTTCATATCTAAAACATGATTAAAGTTTAGCAGATACCTTCGTTCGCCGATCTCTTTGATAGACATACCTTTCCCCGGTTTCCAGATCGAGGCCATCAACTCTTGGAACCCCGATAATTTGACCTTACGGTCGGTGATGACAACCCCAACCACCAGAAAGCCTATCGGTTCCTTCTCCTCCTCGCCACCCTCCTCTGCCTCCTCATCGAAATTAAGCTCGTCTTCTTGATCCTTCATTGACATCTTCTTGTACGTATTGACAATATCCTCCATGCAGTAACGTAACCTTATCGATCAAATCGGCTATCAGGACCTACAGCTCGAACCAAGCCCTGTGATGCGAACTTGCTTTGCCTGAGTCTTCCCCCTTCGTCGCTGCTATCTACTCACGATTCTTGGTGAATTGCCAAGATCGGACGTACTAATTAACCCTAGCGGCCGAGCCCTAAGAAGAACGAAGATGTAGAGAGAGAGTCTCCCGCTCCAACTTGAACCCTAATTTCCATTAATTCATGATGTTAATTGAAAAAATTTTAAATAGAAAATAAAAATGCTGCAATTATATAGAGTGGAGGTAATATTATTTATTTTACGGTGGAAGTTTAGAATGTTAATTATATCTTCTTGAATGCTAAAATATTTTAAATCATAAAATTAAAACAAAAAATTGACATTTGTGAAAGAAATAATGCGTGACCATGATGATAAAAAGAAATTGGAACAAATTTTTAAACACTAGCCAAAAAAGTTAAATAGTCCGTACATTTATTCTCAATACCATGTGATCTGATGGCATCACTGTGACACTCCCAATGAGGAGGTCACATATCTGAATTTCATCTCAGTTCAAAAATGTTGGCTTTAAGATAACAGATACAGAGTACTATAATTGGTTAGAAAAATTTGCAAAAAAATGTATTTCTAAATAGCTAAGTGTAACCAGCATTAAAATACGGAGGGAGTTAATAATATACGGAGTGTGTAATCTTCCCAATAGTTAGGTTCTATTTGCAAACACAGCTAAAAAAGCACTTCCAAAGTTTTGGCTTAAAAAAGCTAAAAAAAGATGTTTTCAAATGACAACTTCTACTTAAACAAATTACTTAAAAGCTAAAAGCTAAAATCTGCTTTTTACTTTTTCTATTACACAAAAAACACTTAATTTACCAAACACCACCAACTTTTACTTTTCAAAATCACTTTTTTCTCAAACACTACCAACTTTTACTATTAATCACTTTTTTACTAAATCATTTAAAAAAGTTAAAAGCACTTTCCAGTTGGGTTTACGGATTTGGTTTTTACTTTTAAGTTGGTTAAACCAATTCCCTTATTTCTTACTAAGTATTTTATACTCCGTATTTATTTTTTTCAAAGAAACTATGGAGTAATTCTCATTCTTTGACAACTGTTATTTTAAAATTATTTTTTTTTCAGAAATTTATTTTAAATTGGTTTGAGTTGCGGACGAGATAGGTCTTCGCCACCTTGCTACCTGCCGACTTGCGTTGGGTCCCTATCAGCTACCCTACAAAAAATAAGGCCTTAGTGTACTCTATTGCTATAGGGTACTCTATTGCAGTATTGCTGAGCCTAAGCCTACCTTAGTGTAAATTAACTCGTAAATTATAGAGTTTATTATTATTATTATTACTAGTTTTCAAGCCCGTGCGATGCACGGGCAGTACGTATTTTAGCTAATTTTAAATATGTTTTTTTAAAAATTGGTTATGGAATTAATTTATATTAATAAATGAAGTTTTTCATTGACACTATAATCTAAGAAAAATACTAAATTGATTATTTGACTTGATTATGGAGATATAGTATCGATATAATATTTAGTAATAATGTTTTGTCATACCAGTCAAAAGATATTTACTCCCGAGACGGTTCTTTAAAATGTTGAAAGATACGAAGTGAAATTTATAATTTGGCACTTCAATTGCTTCTCCTATGACTTCTTTGATGACAGTGTTATGAAAGAATTGTATCATGATTTTACTATCGGCTACAACACGATACTCTTCTTTATTTGGAACCACTGAGAATTTTTTTATGATGTGTATCATTCCTTCCTTTATTTTGGGACGTAATGTATGAACATATCCACTTTTTATAGATGCATGAACATAATCACCCTGCAATCATGAAAAATATCATTAGATTTTTGTGTAAAATAAATGCATTAAAAATTCGAAATTAAAAAAAAAAGTATACCTCTTCATCGATCAGAACCATGTCTAGACAAATTAACCTTCCTTGCCTTTTGTGATTGATGACATCACAGAGGCGTGTAACACGAACTTTGATTGTCCAGTCGGACTTGGATGTATCAAGCTAACGTATTAGAGAATAACTTCTGCATTTTATGGAATATTAATCAATCAGGTATAATGCATAATATTATCATGTAGCATAAACATGTGAATGGTAAAGTATCACAATACTCTTTCTTTGTTGCCTTCGAATGATGAAAAATGCAGCCACATGGGTTTTTAATTCAAAACGGAATTTATACTATGACATGTTCATATATGGAATCATTGAAAAAGAATACTTTTGATTATATAAATATATATATATATATAGAGAGAGAGAGAGAGAGAGAGAGAGAAGTGATCAGGTCCAGCCGGAGGGACGGGAGGCGCCGTCCGAACTCCGCCGTTTGGGGCGGTTCCCGGTGGAATTTTTTGATGACATTTTTTGAGCATGTTCTTCATCAAGTCTAGTTTGTCCATACCAAATTTCAGCTCAAAATTCGACCGGGAAGGCATTCAAATCATTTTTTGAAGTTGACTGCGCCAAAATATACATATAAAAATGCAGTCAACTTCAAAAAATGATTTGAATGCCTTCCCGGTCGAATTTTGAGCTGACATTTGGTATGGAAAAACTAGACTTGATGAAGAACATGCTCAAAAAATTTCATCAAAAAATTCCACCGGGAACCGCCCCAAACGGCGGAGTTCGGACGGCGGCTGGACCGGGGAGGGCTGGACCTGATCTTTTTTGTGTATATATATATATATATATATATATATATATATATATATATATATATATATACTCTGTAATACGTATGTATTTTCACAAGTAATATGTTTAGCTCAGCCCAAAAAAGTAAACACGTTTATGGAATA